GTCTCTCTCTCTCTCTCTCTCTCTCTCTCTCTCTCTCTCTCTCTCTCTAGCACACACACACGCACACACACACGAACCCATAAACACACAAACCCATAAACACACACACAAACACACTTACACCCACACATACCGGATACAGGCGCCCGTTCCAGTCCCAGAATCTCAGAGACCAGGGTTACATAGCTATAACACAGCCCCACTTGTCTGTTGTGCACTCAGTCGCTTCGAAGGAACGATGACCCTTTGATATGTAATATATATATATACACCGCAAGTCTCTTGCCATCGAGGGCTGGGGATCTAAGAAAGTCTAGGCTGGGATTTATTTCCATTCTGCGTTATATCCAGCGTACAAGCAGACCTTCCTTATAAGTTCATACAAATTATATAGTGGTGCCTTTGGTTTATCACTCCCGTTTTTAAAACACTGGGATGTTGTATCCCTCTCAGCCCAGCTCGGAGTGACACTGACAGACAAACTTTCTTTCAGCCGCACCCCTGATATTAGGATAGGTAAGATCTGTTGGGTGGTTAGCGGGTGCTCTGGTGTGGTTTGCTTCTTCTTTCCTATCAAACATCTATGGTCCTGATCTCCCCTTCATCTTTTTTATGTTTGTTACTCTCTTGTAACAGCTCTAATCTTCTGGCACTCATATGACCTTATGCAGTTGCGAGCGCCGTAAAACCTCTACTTAAAAAAAACAAACTTCTATCCTTCTCGGTCCACGGGTGAAAAAAAAACCCCTCGGAGGTACCGTGTGTAAGTTGCGCACCTTAAAGAACCCTTGGTGGTCCTTAAATAGATAAGAGTAGGCTTCTGCCGCCACCGGGCAAAAAGAAAAAATAAATCAAAATTATTTCCCTACCAAACTGCAAATGCAGAGGTATTGGATAGGCATATCACGTGTGGACCATATTATCCGAATTAATCCTGTTGACTCTTCTGTGTTGGAACCTAATGAATCCAAGACATTTTTTTTCTTAACGAAGTAGAGGTTTTTCGTGTCTCTTTAATTTTTAGAGTAACGAAAGGAGCATGGGGCTCAGTTAGGCTCAGTAGCCTATCGCGCTCTTGTGACCTTCTTCAGTTGCGAGCGTCGTAAAACACGTGCAAAAATCCCAAACAACAACAACAACAACAACAACTAGAAAGTAAGAAGAATCAACCCTGCACTTTGACGTGTTGTTCAAATTCGTCGGCCAGCTGCGAAAAAGCGCGGGTGGCGAAGAAGCGTTATGTATGGTAATGGTTAGGGGAGAAGGGGACGAAGCAGACCAGCCTATTTGTCAACACCATGGGGTGAATACGGTCAACACACCCGGTGAGAATGAGTTTTTATTAGGTGACATTCATTACTTGTCCGATTTAGACTGTGTACTGACCGATCGTTGGCATGTGATTTTATCGTGTTCATGCAAATATCGTTTTGCAAGTCGAATAAACTGTCACATTTATGAAAATTTATGGGTTTCAAAGCTGTTTGTTAGGAGCATTATGTACATATTTGTAACGAGTATTGTGTTTGTATTGCGATGTACTTCGGTATGAAATTCAGCTTTCTTCGTGTACCGGTTTCTCATCGACTTGAATAAAGTGATTTTTTGCGCTGTTATGCTTATGGTTAGTTATTCTGGTACGTGGTATCTATTAGTAGGCAAGGACATGTACTTTTTTATGTATATTTAAAGTGGAACTAGTACTCTCATGATTTGACGAGTACTGGATAGACATATTATATTATTATCCGAATAAATCCTGTTGACACTTCTGCGTTGGAACCTAATGTATCCAAGACATTTGAAAAAATATCTTAACGACGTAGAGTTTTTTTTCGGGTCTCATTAATTTTTTGAGTAATGGAAGGAGCAAAACCTGACCTGGTTTTTTTTTTTTAGTTCGCGGATGTTTTCTTCGTTCATTACGCACACCCCCATGGCTTCTGTTCCCTTTCTCTA